TTACTAATAAATCACAAATGTTTATCTTTGTTTTTATTTAATTCTCCAGAAACTCAGAGCTTGTTAGAATCACAAATATTTCAAAAAAAATTAAGTAAAATAATGGCAACATTTTGTCAATTGTAAAACCGGTTTATAACTTGGCAACACTATTCACTTCCTTTTTCATGCCAATGCAGCTTCAGTACGTTCTGCTGCCATTCCCTAGAGCTGTATAACCTAATATGAAATTATTTTTTATATCTGCAGTACTTTAAAATGTAGATAAGCTAAATCTTTCTATCACTACGATTTTTTCTGACTATAAAATAATTAGCAACCAATATAAGAAACAAGATAAAATAGAGTATATTAGAGCCAATAGCTTGGGGCAACCATAAACTACCGTCTTAAACGTCTTATAAAATGTTACAAAGTCTTGGCTCATTGCCACAAGGGGACGCCGTGGTCTTTAACCGTGACAAGTAGCAGTTTAAACTTTAAAGCACTACACATTAGGTTAATGTCCCTATTTCTACGTTTTAGTTGTTAACTTTTGTATAGTTTCACCTCTATTTAATGTAAAAATGTATGAGACGAAAGTTAAAAAAAACGATGACAACGTGACAAATCTTTTAATCAAAGAGTTTTGTTTTTTTTTACAGGAAAAAGAAAATTAAACACAATATTAACGTGTAATAAAATATTTATTAAAGCTCAACTAGCATAAACAATACACATACAGCCAAATTAATTATAATCGCTCTTATTATAGAAAAATTAAAATTACAGAAAAGTAAATTAATTCAAAAAAATTACAATGTTTTTTTATGACTCTGGGGTTTTAAATTTGCATCAATAATTTCTTTCATTAAAAATGCATTGCTATCCGTGCGAAGTAACGTAACCTTTGTCGAATGACGTCACATAATCAAAAAACAGTTTGCAATAAACTAATATGAAGTTAATGTAGATAGTGGCTTGGTCTACACCACATTATTACCTTAGATATTGCTGACGTCACATTCATTAGCATTACTAGCTGTCTCCCGCGACTCCGTCCGCGTGGGATTAAAAATTGATAGTAACCGATTGTCATACCTACTTAATCTTATATATAAAATTCTCGTGTCACAATTTTCGTTCCCATACTCCTCCGAAACGGCTTGACCGATTCTCATGAAATTTTGTGAGCATATTGAGAATCGGATACTATCTATTTTTTTCTACCCCGCACGGACAGAGGCGCGAGCGACAGCTAGTATGCATATAAAACTTTATAGAAGTCGGTCAAGCCGTTTCGAAGTATGGTAACAAACATTGTGACATGAGAATTTTATATATAATGTGAAATAAATCAACTGCATATACTTTCTATCAATTGGTATATAATTTGGAAAGTTTTTGTAGAACTCAAGATATTACCAAGATTTATAATTTTAAGAAATATAAAAGCAAAATGTACAAAGATCATGCTGTTACTGGTGAAAAATGGACATTCTCAATGACTTTTAAAACTAATAAATATTATAAAGCTTAAAAATAGAAGCAACAAACAATTGCCAGATACAGTGTGTTTAAAAATGTGCATGAAATAAATTTTTTGGCGAAAACTGACAAATTTTGATAAACCAAGGTCATTCTAACTTTCGTGAGACATTATACTAAACTAATATAAAAACGGCTAAACACTCACGTATATTCGTCCGGTGGCGGCACCGACTAGTTTGCCCATCTGGGGCCACTTGTGAGCGACGGGCCGCATCCGCGAAATAATACCAGTACTACTCATCCTGATGAAGGGCCCCCGATGAGCTCGAAATTAGTGGGTGCCGCCACCGGACGAATATACGTGAGTGTTTAGCTGTTTTTATATCCGTTTAAACCAAGGTCACTGGTGGGCACATTTTTATTTTAATCGAAAAGAACGAAAACGATCTGAACTATGGGTCTAGACGTGCATTCGCTTCGAAGCGATTCGATAAAGAACTCGAAAAATGTTCTCGAAAAGCGATTCTATAACGAACTGAACTGAACGAATAACTTTCGATAAGTCACGTGATTGTCGCGTGTCAGTTTCATACATTTTTGAGCTATGGAGTCGCTTCTTAGCGAATGAACGTCTAGCCCCCCTGATAACTGATATGTATTTTTTTATATACATACGTCAAAAAAGTCGCAAACAAAAAACTATCTCAATGTTTAATACTTAATGACAAAATAATAAATATTCAAAAGCAAAATACATACAAAATATATTTTTACGTTAACCGTGACTTTTTGAGACTTAAATCAGCTTAAAACATAATGCTATCTCTGTTTTGTCAAAGATAATGACAGGGATGACGATATGTTTCATACAGAGATGTTAGTCTCAGAAGCTCACGGTAAGACAGAAATAACGGTTTAAATATTAACTTCAAAAAGTTTAGGAAAGTTTTCAAAGCGTTGTCCCATCCCACTCTGAATATTAATACTAAAAGAAAATATTTTTAAAGATAAAAAAAAAACAGAATAATCTTTGATTGAGAGAAAATTAATTTGATGGCAAATATAACCATAAGTTTTTATTAACAAAATCCCTATACAAAAACCAATTATATCTGTTTATCAAAGATTTGATTCCCATTTTCATATTAACATTTTATATTATAAAAATAAAAAAAAAACAGCGTTAACTCACATATATTTTTTACATAGACGTATAGTCGAATTCAATGGTTATAAGAAATTATCAATACACATTTCACTGGCTAACAATTTCATTTGTCTACTAGCTATAGCCCTTGTCTTCGTCCGCACGGAGTTAAAAACTTAATTAGTAGCTTATGTGTTCTTCAAGACTATATCGTACATCTGTGCCAAATTTCATCAAGATCCGTTGAACCGTTACGGAGATACCTTCTAACAAACATACATCCATCTAAACTTTCGCATTTATAATATCTATTAGTAAGATGGATTTATTGAATAAAGTAAGAAAAGAAAGTCGTGTTAGTTACACTATTTATAACTCAAGAACGGCTTTAATGACATGGCTGAAAATTGATGTGGAGGTAGCTTAGAGCCAGGAAACGGACACAGGATACTATTTATTCTTTTTTTTTTGTTTTTCGAATTTATGCCTTGAAGAGCTGCTTTTTACTTAACTTACTAATATTATAAATGCGAATGTTTAGATGGATGTGATGTGGATAGATGGATGGGTGGGCTACACTAATTAAGTTTTTTATATATCCATGCGGACGGAGTCGCGGGCGACAGCTAGTTTATAATAAAATGTCTGTTTTCAAATAATCTGTGATAATTTTGTAATAATTTATCATTTCAATTGAATTCGACTATATAACGACTTCTTATAAATAATTTACACTTAGACTAGGCAATTATGATTTTACAGTATGTTTCTTGTGACATTGTTACGACATATAAAGTACAATTTAACATATTTTTATTAATATGAAAAAAAGACTTGCTTCCGTATAACGTTAGAATAAACATCAAACGCAATTACAAAAACAAAACGTATAATAAACAACGTTTTTATAATCATTTTGAAATGATTTGGTTCTAATTCAATCAACCTAAACATCGCAATTAGTAACTGAAATATAACTCTTCACAAATATCTAGGCTGCTCAAGGTCACTGGCGCGTTGCGAAGCGCGCTTAAATTACTAGTGAATTATGTATTATGAAAAAATCAACTAACGATTTCGAGACTAAAGTCTGAGCCCTCCTCCGCTCCTGTGACTGACCGTAGTATTTTAAAGACTCCGCTCCCCCCGCCCCCCCTAAACGGGTCACGTAGTATGGGTACGTTCCCTAACATTGTGTTCTGCGCAGCGGACTCGCGTGAAGTTAAGAGCCGCCAAGATATTTGAAAACATTTATACCTGAACTACTATTGGATGATGATGACGATGAAACCATTTTTATTATTTATTGTATTAAATTGCACTTTTCAAAGGCTCAACGATCTATTTAACTGACTCATTTCTGGTACAAATATCATTATATACAAATTAGCAAGCTCAATACATCTTTAATAGTCTATTTACTATACTATATATAATATGTTTTATTCAATTAAAGCATTTAGGATATTATATCAAGTGCCTTTTAACTAATAATTACCAAAATCAATGGAATTTCTAATTTAATTACGGTATTGCATTTTTATAGGCGTTTATTCTATTATATCTTTTTAATTTAAAAAAGTATTACAATTGTAATTCGTTGTAAATAAATATATATTATAACCGGGTATGTAGTGCACTGCAAAATGTTCTCCCCCCTCCCTTGGCGCTACGCTACACCTGTATTCTGCGCAGCCAATCATACGATGTTCCGAGCCACCAAGATATATGACAAATGTACTAGCTACTTTTTTATATTCTCTACAGCACAGATTAAAATCAAAGCCAAGATTACATTTGTATAAATCACCTATTAATTGTGGCCGTGAACAGCCATATTAATAAAAGAAATAATTTTGTTTTAAATTCTTGCAATTTATTCATGTTTGAGATAATATTAGTATAATAATCAGTTCTCACCAAAAACAGGTTCTTTATATTAACATGAATAGCACATTCAGTAAATTTATATGTTTTATAAGAGAGATGCCACATGAGCGGCTATCACATCGTAAGACAGAAATTTTATAAAACACTGCCGCTACGGTGGCACATCGCTTTTTTGGTATCTCTTATGCCTTTTGATATTTACTTAAACGATATTACAATAAATAATGGTGTAAATAACGTAAAAGAAGTGCTTTCAAAAGAATAGTACTGAGAGATTGATCCCCGTGAACATTGGACGACAAAAACTAATATTTTCACTGCATTTCCGCAACAATAGTCGCGTCTGCACACCGCTAGTGTGACATCGCTTTTATAAAAACCAGTGTTTTATTTGTATGTTATTAGTATTACATTTTCAATATTTTTTTTTATTATCTTGAGTAGATAAAAAATTAAGTTTTATTCAGTTGCATTTCGTAAAGAGAAATTTTTCGGGACAATTATCCAAAACTCTTGGACGATTCAAGGTCATTACTTTATATTTGATTGGCATTGCATGTTTATATAATTTTCCCTTAATTACATACATATAGTATATATATATATTTATATAACTATATTACATGTACAAAGCTGTAGCATAATTTCTAAGATTTATCTTAAATACAAATGATTAGATACAGAGATGCACAACAGGTGTATCTTAGATTTTTATATACAATATACGTTATATTATTGTTTCATATAAGACAACGAATGCGTTTCTAAAATTTCTTATGTTGTAATATAGTAAATAAATATATAGAACATCATAATTCGTTAAACCGAAACCACATTGAAAAATTTAAATTCTTTTAAACTTTATCTTTGGTGTATCTTTATATATGAGGGTTTGAAAACAATTACGTAATATTAGAATAATTATAACAATTATATTTGCTTACTATATTACAAACACATCTGCATAAACATATTTAAAAAGTAAAACAGATCGTATTACGATAGGCATAAGATCGACTATCTAATATCACTCGCCGTTACAACTCACCGCGGCGCACTCAGTCCATTACTAGCGGCACGCGACCGCCGGCCGTCGTGTCCGATACGCGAGTGAGCTGTGACGTCACACGCCCACATCGCATTCAATGGAAACGCGCATATCTGTAACGTACGGATGTTTAAAAATTAAAATAACAAGTCATATGATTCAAGAAAGGAAACGAGAAATATCTTTATAATTAATAACTTAAATAAACTAGATTTGTCTTGACGTAGACCAGAGGGTCCAGCACGAATGTTCATGAGAACATTTTCGTAACGTTTTCTACAACATTTATATTAGAAATTGTGCAGCGTGGGCGTAGAATACACCAACAAATCTCATACATATTTTATCATTGACGTAAAGATGGCGCATCGCAAATGTTCGTGCGTGCTGTGGGCCTAGATTTTATTCCCAGATAAGATCAGGCATATCGCTGCGGCCTATCATCATTCGATTCTCTTCGTGACATATCTTATATTACTAATATACGCGACGCGGTTTCGCCCATGTGGCATGTATCGTATTTCTAAATAAACGTATTTTCACAGGAGAACTGACCTGCGCTGTCTCGAGCGCTACAACTGGAAAAGGTCATCATGCGCCCTCTCGAGGCGTTTCAGCGAACTGTCGACCCGGCGGCCCTGAGTGAGCGCGGCGGGAGGCGGCGGCAGGGGGGGCGGGATCACCTCATTGTACGACATGGAGGAGGTGGCGCCCATCGACGCAGACTGACGCAGACGGGCAGTCGGCCGGTGACGCACGAAACCATCCTCCAGGTCTTTGACGAATCTGGAATTGAAAAAAAAATCGAGTCATATTGAGTCGCATATTAAATAGTCTATGTGGGCTCTTATTCTAGTCCTGAAAATCCAAAAAGCATTAACACTTTCAGTGCCACCGACCCGGCGAGTTCACTTCCAAGCGTGGCATGAAACGTGTTTAGATATAATAATCAGTCATAATATATCTAAAAGCATACATTAATAAAAATTAAAAAAAGTATGTTATAAAATATGATATCAGATAACGTTAGTAATTTCCTTATTAAAATAATTACACTAAAATATAATAATTTCAGCTAAAACTAATAACCCAAACTGCATATTTATTTTACCTAAAAGTTAATAAAATAATATCTAACGACCATTCTATCAGATTTCAGACATAAACTAGAACATCAAAACGAAGAACCCGTTTTATTATTATGTGACATTTATCCGTATTAATACATAGTTATTTTTAGGTATAAGGTGACCGTTAGCTAATATATTTGTCCGCTTTAAAAAAAAAACAACAAAAGGAAGTAAGTCAATTTCATCGTAGATTTTCACTCCCGAAATACATTTACTAACCCTTAATATTGTTCGTTTATCCAAAGTTGGCAACCCTACTTAATAATGCGAATAAAACATTCGCAAAACTATAATTAGGCTGTGATAAATGGAAGAATCTCGCAAACGAGTGTCGCTGCGTGTGAGTGCATCAAAAGAACCAATTCGAAATCAAAACTAATATTAGCATTGCGTTGCCTCGGTCAAAAGGACTCGATAAATAGGTCGTCAACACCATATAATCACATATATGATATCAAATTTAATGGAAAAATATTTGTGTGGGCTTTTAGTTCATTTACATTTTATTAATCCAGTTCTGTATTCAATATACCATATGGAAGAAAACATGTTTGTACATATGTAACATATCATGTAAGTTGTGAATCATAAGAGCTATTTAGAGTATTAACTGTTTAAAAACGTGCGAAGAGTCGCTAGATTAACGATTTAATTATTAGCAAGACCTTGACCTTTTAATTACAATATTCCGAGTCATTCTAAGTCGTATCCACAATTATTTTCTTTTATCCACAATGACCTTTTAAATATTTGGCATCCTAAAATTAGAATAGTAGTTGCGACATTTTTTTAACTACACTTCACAAATGAAAGCAGATGGCTTAGTCCCAAGTATAAAAGTTTAGAAATACAAAAGCTACCCCTTGAAAAAAATATTGTTTCAAGACAAAGGTATTTTGTATACTAGGGTACTTTGACAGTAACTTATTGAACTGGCACGCCAACAATTTTTATAAAGCTACTGAGCACGCTACAAAACCGTGAAATCATAGTGTCGTGTACAATATTCGCACTTATTTACTGTCTCTACTTTTTCAAGGACAATGACAGAGATGAAAATATGTTTTAAGGTGTTGCCGATTCGAAACCCGTCAGTTAGAAAAACGAAACTTATAAATATCTCCGGTAAATTGCAATCTTCTCTCGCACTTTCTACACATTTAACTCTTAATAGTTTGTACCATCAAGGAGTTTTTTTTGTATCTCCATAGAGTTCTCTGTGGTTTGTATAGAGTAATATCAATCCAACATGAAAATAAAGTTAAAAGATAGTTAAACATTAAGCAGGTACCGATACCAATATTGATTTTCCCTTCCAAATTCATCCTAAATACACTCAGATATAAAATCAAATATTAAAATAAAAACTTTAATGTAAAACATACGCTATGTCGTACTAAATAACATTGTTTATCGTACGTTAGCAGCGAATCAAAGCAATTGCGTATAAGTCGCAAAAGTTCTTATCACGAGGTCAATAAACCAGTGTACGCCTTGTCTGTCCATGTTTATTCGTTGCCTCGACGAAAGCGAAACGAAGGGGGGAATCTTAGTTCATATTGAGTCAAATGTTTATTTAGCGAGTTAAGTATCGTGAGTGTATCTTAATATCCTTCACAATATAACAAGCCGCTTTACAAAGTAGGCCCAAAACTAAGTAGATTACCTTAGTAAAATCAGTAATCAAACTAGCTGTTGCTCTTCATCCACGTGAAATTAAAAAAAATGTGTTGAGCGTATTCGTTATTCCAGACTGTAGCTTACCTGTCTGCCAAATTACATAGAGATCCGTTAAGTCGTTTTAGAGATACGTAGTAACAAACATCCATCCATGCAAACTTTCCCATTTATAATATTAGTAAGAAGTAAGATTTTAAATCAAACGAAATATAAAGATATTGAAGCATGGATAATAATAGCAATAAAAAAATGTCGTCTTACGATTTAAAGTCTGTTGTCACATAAGATGGAAGTAATACATTACCGTCCACCGGCAAAGCCTTCCTCCCTAGTCATTACTAGAAAGGCTTTGCTTCCTTGTTAGTAAGCTTAAGTCATACCGCCGTCTACGTTTTGCAGTTACTTACAAATATCTTTTATATCAAAAGGTATTTAAAATGTTTGGAAATAAATTAACCTGTCAGTGATACATTACTATGCCGCAGTGATAGTAGCGCTATCAAATAATATTTTATAAACATACATCTATGACCAATATAAAGTTACTATGTCTGGGAATGGATTCATCTAATTTCTTGGTATATATTATAAATGCGATTGTTTGGATGGATGTTTGTTTGAAAGTATCTGGAGAGCGGCTGTATGAATTTCGTTGAAATTTGGCATAGATGTAGAACATAGTCTGGCAGAACATACAGTTCAATTACTAAACTTTTTTTTACGTGCGGACGGAGTCGTTGACGACAGCTAGTTATACATAAGTAATAGAACCTCTATGCTATAATTTCAATTTAGATTTGTAAGTAATTTACTGTCTTTAGTTAGTCCGATGAGTACACTAAGCTTTAACGAGATTTCAAGGATATTATTTGCTTCCAACGGTTCCCACATAAATTACCCTTCAGTCATTTTCGGTCTAAACAAAAGTAGTCGTTGCGTAAAAACATTATTAACCTTTTTAGTCCAAAAACACAAAAACACATTGACCAACATTTACCAATAGATAAGCTGCCGATTAATAAATAAGATATCGCGACTATATTAAACCTGATAGGATATTTAAAACAAAAATAATTGTTATATTAAACAGTGACTTCGCAAGAAAGCAACATCTAACCGTTGGTTTCAAAGAACAAAAACTCTGTATTAAACTTATCGTCATCCCTGACAAAACAGAGACTCAGAAACCCACGGTTACTCGAGAATATTACTGTCTTATTCGTCTAAACATATATGAATGAAAGAAATAACCTATTTAACACCATCAGCAGTGGAACAACTCACATATAGTGTAGTCATGGAAAATTTTATCTTATAAACGTAATTGCAAATTACTCTTCTTATGATTCAAACTAGATTCCTATACTATTGCGTATTGCAATTTTTAAGTTTAAGGATATCAAATACCATCATCTTCATCATCATCATCAACTCATTATACGTCCCCACCGAGAGGCTCGAAGCCTACTCTAAGTTAAGGGTGAGTAGGTCATAGTCAACCACACTGGCTAAGTGCGGGTTGGTTGACTTCACACATATCTTTGAATTTCTTCTCAGATATGTGCATGTTGCATCACGATATTTTCCTTCACCGTAAGAACGTCGGATAAATGTATATTACATATATATCGGAAATCGAAAAACACATTGGTACATGGCGGGATTCGAATCCAGTACTTGCAGATTGCAAGTCAAGTGCTTGACCACTGAGCCACCGACGCTACTAAATACAACACAAACTCAAAAAATCTAACCATTAAATACAAGGAAAGTCACTAGTTAATAATTATTATTAATATTGGAGTAATCTCCAATGTTATCAGTCGAACAAGCAGGGCATAATTTACGTGACCCAAAATAAAACGTTGACCGTGAGACTTTCAGTAACGATGTGTAATATATTAGCCAAATACGGCCGCGGCGACGCCATTTTTATATATTTTTTTTAGTGAAAGGCAAAAGTATTCTACCATTGTGGCCAAATATATAATAAGTGTTTACTGCCTTATTGGAGTCGATAAATCTTAGGGTAAATTTATTATGAGAAACCCACTCTGTGTGTGGCATTAAGCAAAACATAGGGACAAATAACCACATGGCTATTTTGCAATATGGCTGGTTAACAGGAAGTGATAAGATTACGTAACATAGTAAAAATGGCAATTTATCCTGTTTGCAATCTGTATACCCTAAAATATTCATTTCAATTTTTGTCATGAAAAATATGCGAGTCCCAATTTATGGTAGGCTCAACTATAGTCAGACATTTTTTTTTTATTATTTGCTTTTATAAAACAAAGTACAGTAAATTAACCAACATGCATACTTAAAATCACTATTACCATAAGCTTTATTAATTAGAAATTTTGATATCAAATGGTTTCCAAAGGTTTTATGAGCACAAATGTAAATTCCCATAAAAACAACTTAATAATTTCTAATGAAAACACTTCAGAGACATTATGTTAAAATTACTTAACTGAGCAAAGAAAAAAATCAATTTATACTGGCCATCAACAAAATCACCATAATCAATATCGCAAAAAAACTTAAAAAAAAATATTGTCCAAAGGAAAGGAAAAAACCAATGAATGGCTTTAAAAGTGGTAAATAAGAATGGCGCAGTAGTCACATGATCGGCGCGGACGCATAGTTAGCACAAACACAAGGAAACACTCGTGACCTTGTATGAGTCAAAATGTAAAAAATATTGACACATTACTGTACAATGTAGCAATAGTTTTATGCAATAATAACAATACTGTGGTCAATGAACTCTCAAATACAAAGTAACAATAATAATTACTTGAAAGTTAATGTAATTTAATACAGCAAGATTTTTAAATAATCTAGATATCGCCCATGATTGACTCCGCTCGGAATTAAAAAAAAAACTTAATTAATAGCCTATGTTCTTCCAGACTAAGTTCTACATCTATTCCAAATTTCAGCAAGATAAGTTGTGCGGTTCCTTTGATAACTTCAAACAAACATCCATCCATCCATCCATCCATACAAACATATGCATTTATAATATTAGTAAGATAAGAAGTAAGACTAGCTATCAACCATGATTCCGTCTGCAAGGAATTAAAAAAAAAACTTGATTAGTAGCCTATGTATTCTTACAGACTGTGTTCTACATCTATGCCAAATTTGAGCGAGATCCATGGAGCCATTCTGGAGATACATTCAAACTTAAATCCATCCGTTTGATCATCCACATCTATAATATTTTTAAGAAGTAAGATTGTAAAGAAACTAATGAACCAATTTGAAATATTCTTTCACTGTTGTGAAACTATACTATACCTTAGGGACATAGGATACATTTTTAGTTCCTGTTGAAATTGCAAGCAACTGCAAGTTAGAAAAAAAAATCCTAAAACTATTTACTTGCTTTATTACTCATTTTTATCCTTATTATGTGTTGTTTTGACTTATATTCTGGGTTTGGTTACATGTAAAGTTTTAACCTAAATTCAAAGGAACTTTGATGGTACAATTAGATAACCCAAATTAATGACATATTCGACAGTATCAATTGTCCGAACATGCAGAGGACAAAAGTCATGTAATTTAAATTATAATAATTAAGAGTACATATCTTTTAGTTGTGACTTTCATAAATACATTATCAGTGGAATTGTAAACATGAGTTATCTTCTAAAGCTTTTATTTACTTTGTACTTATATTATCTGTAATATGCCACAAATTTAGAATTCAAGGGCAGAAAATTAAGATATTCTCCTATTTTAGAGTTGATTATGTTACATACATAACTTTTATTAAATGCTAATTCAATATTTTTCAGAAAAAATCTGTCCGTCAGTTTTATAATTAGCTAAAATTACTTGTCAATGATCAATGAAAAAAGTTACTTTATAAGAGGCAAAATAGTACTCTCTTAAATTGTATTTTTAAATGAAACTTACTTGCACAGTTCAGAAACTACAATAACTTACGCTACAATGTTTAAAAAGTGTTATATTTCCAATAGATATTGTAAATAATGTTAAATACTCACTCGCTATTTTCTTTGCTCTTCTCAACATGCTTTTTAATATCAGCAAGTGAAGAATCCAATCTGTTGAGAAAATTATCAAAACTTTTCTTTTCATCAGGACTTCCGGGGGAGAAATCCCGTGACTGTCTAGACGTCATATCGGACATTGAGGCACGATGAAGTGGCATTGCGGGCTCCGTAACCCGTTCACCGTTCTCATAAAAGGGAGAATCTCTGGTTACAGGAATCAGTAAATATTCTCTCAAAAACAAACTGTCGGTCGCAAACAAACGATTCGCTCGTCTTATCTTTTCCATCTATAACAAAAATATCAAGTTACTTTCATTGGAATGCTAATGGATTGAACAATATATTTATTATAATAGACTTACTGTAACGCCATATTTAAGAGCAATTCCTTGTAATGTATCACCCTTCGACATAACATGTTTGATGTATTCCTCGTTCCTCTTCATATGATTGCATGTGCTTCCATATTTTTTTAATGGTCGAGCAGAATCTCGAATAGAAATTCTTTCATCGAAAAGACGATCCTCTTCCATGTTTGACGTATAAGAAAATGAAATCAAATCACATTATGACAATTGACAAGACGACAAAACAAATTGACAATCTGTCACCGTGGGCACAGCTTATGTTACAGAATTTGTATGCACTTGTCCATTATACATTTGTCCGCATAAAAAGAGAAGATACTAAGACAATAATTGAAGATATAATAGCTAATTTTATTGTAGACACAATTCTGTAATGGAAGACCCATTTTAAATTAATTATTTCGATAAATTAATCTTGAAACACCATGGAACACTTCTAGTTAAAAATACAAAAACTTAAGTCTTTAAGTACTCATCATATTCGTTCTTACACATATGACTTTCGCGGTTAAACGTTTCGGACAATTAAATTAGTAGTTATGATTTTTATTAGCTGGTATCACCAGATACTTTGTCTCTCTACCAATATGCACCGTTAGATGGCGCGTTTTTAAATCAATCTCCAAGTCTCAAATATGGATGTTCGTTCCGTTCGTTTTCATTCCAATGAATCATTCCCTTCATTCATTTAGTCTCCGGGTAGTTTTTGTGAAAAGAGGTGTGTTGTGTTGTTTCGTATGAAAACTGAATTGTTTTGGTTAAAAAAATTGTGGTGTCTCAATTAAAGTTTGTGCTTGGGTATAACTATTTTCTTTATTTTATTCCAAATAGTAATTTCCAGTGATACAAAGTTAAAATTGGTCTTTTATTTATTTGTTTTAAACACATGTGATCGATAAAATTAAGTTACGCGTTTTCGGAATATACGAAGGTATGTATAAATTAAGCATTTTTAAAATAATTATTGTTGATTTTTTTTACTATTCAACTATTTGGCAGCGGGGCTTGTTTTCCCCAATGTGGTGCGCACCCGCCCTGTAGCGAAATACTGCGAGGGTTGCTAGCACGGGCACGTTTATATTGAGCTATATTTTAGGGTGTGTTGTATGAACACTATTTATTGCGTATTATATTATTTGCCTTCCAAATATATGTTTTAATGTAATATATACCAATACAAAAATTCATTTAATAACATGATACAAATAAATACAAATTTATTAGTAATAAAGTTACAAATCGTCATATAAAAACTAATTGTTTAGTCTCAAGCTTCAATTCCAGGAAGACGTAATCGATATTCTAATAATAACCCACACTCAACTAGCTGGAATCGTTTTGCGGAGTAAATTGATAGTCCTCCAGGAATCCTCTTTTATGCCACTCTAGAAAACTTCCTGGGTTTTTATACTCGAGTCTTATCTTATAACACAGCTGACAGGAATTTAAATGATATTCATTTTTCTTGATATCAAACATAGGTACCTAGTGGTTAACCAACGCAAAAATGGTTGGTAATTTGCTCTATTCAAAAGTCTCCTAAATTCTTTTTTCAAAATTAACGATTTGCAATAATTATAGATTGTTGTACATTTTTATTAACAATAATGGTATATCAGTTGACAGTTGCTTACCCCTTAGTTTTGTTACGTCATAAACATGACAGAGGGTATGTTTTCACCTATTTGATTGCTTGTTTTTGAACGCTTCAAACAGCTGGATACTTGTCAATTGTCTATTCATTTATTTTTTTTTGTGTCATAATTGCTTAAGCAGAAGAATATAAAAGTTTTAATAATTTTTTACTTTAAAACTTATTTCACTATTTCGTCGAGTTAGTGTTTTATGCGTACAATGACTTAGCTGCCTGCAATCTTAATTTCTGGTAAATAGTTTTTTTTCATAAATACGTAATCATTGACCCCAAATGTGTAGAATTCATAGCCAGAATATTGTTTGTAAATTATATAAAAAATTGCTCTCCAAGGACATCATGTCAGTCACAGATCGCGCAGACATGACGCACAACAGGACTAATCTCAAATTAATTTACTTACAAAAGGTATGTCCCTAAGCGTGTATATAGTATGGGAATTTAATAAAGTTTAATTACCCACTTAGAAAAAAATATTTCATGACTAAAGAAATGTACCTAATATTCTACTAAGAAATTGCTTTAACAATGCACAGTAGCCGTAAAAATTCATAAGTAGCCAAGCCGCGATTTGAAATAAGAACCCTTGAGTCATTAGTTTTTAAGAGGCGAGTGAATTGAGCGTAAACTAACCAGCCCTCGGTGACTGGGAGATCGTTAAAGAGGTCCTAGACCTGCGTGCAGTGTGAAGTACCAAGAGAAATAATGTTATTAAGAGAAGGGCTTAATCAATTCCAAATCATCCTATTCGTATAGAAAAAATATTATTCTGACCGAGTTGTTTTGAGACCATCGGAGGCTCTTCTTCAGGGTGAATGCGACTGGTATTACGCAGTCGCGACCCGTCTCTTACTGAATCGTCTCTCTTTATTTTTTGTTTACAATAATGTGTTGTTTACATTATGCCAGTATAGTAGGACAGTAGCATTCAAAATCAGTGCTTGCATACGACTGGCATAATTTAAATTCGGCACCAGCGTGGCCATACATAATTTGTGTTTGTATTTCATAGAGAAACTTACGTATTTGAAACGTATGAACGTAATCAACCTTGACAAATACTTGACTCATTGATACCTGTTTTAAAATCGGTTTAACTTATATCTCGTTATAGTGTCAACAAAAAGACTACAGAGAAATTGTGACTCACACGTTATGGAACGCGGAACGTTTAAACTTATTTGAATGCAGTGATACATTTTTCTGTTTCATTTTTTATGTTGTAACCGGCCAGTAGTTTTTAAATGATCTTTATGAAGAAAACTGATGACTACGTGCGTGACTTACTCTTTGACCGATATTAAGGACACTTATTTTTTTCTTCTTTAATGCTTTTATGTATTCATCCACTTATTCCCATCTATACCTTGTCAATTTAATATGCCTTACCAATTTCATGAAGGAATGGCAACAGTTGTTACAAAACTCTCACTAATTCTTCAACATTTCATTATTCAATGACGTTTTACTAATATTGCTTAAAAATAAGGAAAAATTCCGAGATAATATGTAATGCCTTTAGAGGTATTGTTCATAATAATGTCGTATAACAGGTTTTATTCAACGGCATTATATTGTAATGAGTCACGACTACGACGTTTGACCTCTAGGAATCTTATCTGTAATCATGTTCTTAGATCTTATCAGCTGACTTTAACCGTACTGTCATTACCCACCCAGAAAAGATATTTATGTCGTGGATAACATAGTTCACGAACTAATAAGTCTAGAAATTTTACATGAAACCATTCACAAGCTTTACTTATATATCTTAGTAATATTTTAAATACGAATGTTTAAATGGATGTTTGATAAAAGGTATCCCCAGAACGGCTGTATGGATCTCGCTGAAATTTGCCTTAGATGGAGAACATAGTCTATAAAGCTGCTATAGAAGCTACTTATTAAGTTTTTTTAATACTGCGCGGAGAGAGCCGCCGGCTACAGCTACTACCAAATTATACTTAGACGAACTGTTATATCTTTTAAAAATCTCAGTAATTATTCGTTAAAATATCCAGTAACATTATTTAAGACTTTTTACACCTAGAGAAGCTTAAGTATGTATTGTCTCTATTTACAACGCTTAGGTAAAAACAGCAGTCTAATATAAAAACGTATAACAGCTGTGTATACATTTTCACTTGTAAAGTTTAAGTATTCACACTTACCTTTTTTAACGGTTCGTAACTGCGACACGAAAAACAATAGCATGCTTTGTACACCGAGCTCTGGGGATGCGAAAGCTTTAAAATTTACCTAAATCTATCCCCAATGGTAACAAACTTTTAACGTAATAAATACGTTCTTAAACCCTCATTTTTTTAATGGAAGGTTGATGTGTTTTTGTTATTTAGTAAAACAAAAACAAATGCTAGTGCATTATTCAAAGACACGTAAACATCGACCTTTAAATCCCTTGATTACTGTACAGTATTAGGTAAATTTTAAGAGGCCTAAGTTAAATACTTATGGTCTTTTTTACTTTATGCCATGTGCATATAGATATTAGTTCTCAAGATAGTGTCAAGTCAAGACAAGCTTCTAATTAATTACACATTTTTTACTAGCTTACCACAAATCATGACATCAAAAACACACGCACATTCATATCTTCCTTACAAACGTAATAATAAGCCGGATAGTGCGTCTCTTCCGTTCATTGTGTTCCTACAATGAGTGAACAAAGAAAACCGACACCGTTTATAAATGTGGCTTAGACGGATCGAGCGAAAGCGGATTTTTTGCAGATGACGTCACGCGTCACGTCTGATGATGCATTGAGCTCGAGGAATCCGCGTTCAATTTCCGAGAATTACAAGAATTATTGTGGAACGATTATACGGAACTTTTATTGGTATTTACAGAACAGTACTAAACCTGCTTACGTACGTATCTGTAATTAAATCAAGTAACCCTTGTTTCAATTTTACTTAGCTGGTGTTGCAACCTTGAGCTTGACGTCATACTGAAGAGGCCATCATTCCTCGTCATCAGGCCCTGTCAGTAGACTGCTAAGATCGAGAAAGTCAAGCTCTTATTTGTTTTTTTTTTAAATAATGTTGTGGGTTTCTGAGACCAAAATCTTCGTTTAAAACTGCTATCTCTGTTTTGTGAAAGATAATGATAGGGATGACGATATGTGTAACACAGAGTTTTTGGTCTCAGATACTCATACTAAGAAATTCTTTTTTGACTGTTTCAATGGTGAAAAGAAAGAACAAATGGCGCCATCTCCTAAATTAACCTTTTAACATCTCACTGCTTTAAGACTTTTTTTATCCAAACATCGCGTAAAACAAACATTTACTTAACGTGATTGTTCCTTTATGGACAGCAGTTTTTTTATTTCTTTATATCAAAGGAACGTGATTATCTCGACGAAGTTTCTTTTATCCTTACATTCGTTACAAACAGTGAAATGCATTAGTCTTTTATTTAGAAATTATAAACTTTTGCTCATAGTATCTAGGGAGTGGGAATTATATAAAAAAGAACGTTCATTTTACTTATTAACGTAATTTACGATCTTGTAATAACTAT